CTATCCAGCATCGCGACAAGTGGCGTTCTGATTCGTTGTCCAGAAGGGAAGCAATATCCAGTGTTCTATATTAGCAAAATGATGACTGAGGCCGAACGACGTTATTCAAAGGCCGAGCAAGTGATACTCTCGCTAGTGCATGCGAAAAGAAAGCTCAGGCATTATTTTGAATCCCATCCTATCATCGTTCTAACTACCTTCCCTATCAGAATAATCTTGCACAAGCCAGACCTCTCAGGAAGAATGACGAAGTGGGCCATAGAGTTAAGCTCATTTGACATAACATATGAACCCAGAACGGCAATCAAAGGGCAAGCAGTGGCAGATTTTCTACTGGAATGTGATTCAGAAGACATAGAGGAAGACCTTCAAGGTTGCTTGTGGAGACTCTTCGTCGATGGATCCTCAAATCAGATGGGGGCAGGCATTGGGATCAAATTGCAGACACCAGAAGGTACGTCCTTGAGTCAAGCGCTCCGGCTTGAATTTAGAGCCACCAACAATGAAACGGAGTATGAAGCACTGCTGGCAGGACTTAAGCTTGCCAAGGAGTTGAAGGTTAGGAATTTGATTGTCTTTAGTGACTCGCAGTTAGTTGTTCGGTAGGTGAATGACGAGTATGAAACCAAAGATAAAACAATAGAGGCCTATCATTCTGCTGTTGTGCGGGAGGCCAAAAACTTCGAAAAAATTGAATTCATCCAAATACCGAGAGAGCATAACGAAGATGCCGACCAGCTAGCGTGTAGTGCCTTGAGTTCTGGAGAAACATTGGCCAGGGTAATTCCAGTAGGAATATTATACCAGCCATCCATTTTTGCAGAACCTTTGGGTCCAGATCCTTGGCAAGTAAATGTTATTCCATATAAGCCAAGTTGGATCGATCCGATCATAACTTACATCAGGGGAGGTATTCTGCCTGAGCAAAAAGAAGAGGCTAGGAAAATCAAATCGAATGCTGCAAAGTACGCCATAGTGCATGACCAGTTATACAGAAGGTCTTTTTCTGGGCCGTACTTAAAGTGCGTCACTCCCACAGAGGCTCGGCAGGTGCTGCGAGCTATTCATGAAGGTGTATGTGGAAACCATTCAGGGGGAAGGTCTTTAGCGCACAAAGCAATGACGCAAGGGTACTTTTGGTCGAACATGTCGCGAGATGCGGAAGAATTGTCCAGAAGGTGCGATAAGTGCCAAAGGTTCAAACCACTGATTCACCAATCACCTGAGGACTTGCACGTAATGGCCACACCATGGCCTTTTGCGCAATGGGGGATGGATGTGGTTGGTCCTCTGCCAATTGCAAGAGCTCAGAACAAGTATGTGCTGCTGGCTACAGATTACTTTTCTAAGTGGGTGGAAGCAGAGCCGTACTCGAGCGTAACTCAAATTCATTTGAGACGGTTCATTTGGAGCAATATTATTTGCCGGTTTGGCGTTCTGCGATCAATCATCATGGATAATGGGACAAACCTTGACAGCAAGCAAGTAAGAGAGCTGTTGGAGGAGTATGGAATTAATCAAAAGCTGGCGGTAGTAAGTCACCCCCAGGCCAATGGACAAGCGGAGATCACGAATAAAACAATCTTTGCTTGTATTAAGAAGAACCTTGAAGAGAAGAAAGGAAGATGGTTAGATGAACTGCCGAACGTCCTATGGGCTTACAGAACGACCCCAAGGCGACCGACCGGAGAAAACCCATTTGCCATGGCATATGGTACCGAAACAGTTATACCGGTTGAACACTTGGTTCCGACTGTTCGGAGTTTGGCATGGAGCCGAGAGCATAACGACAGTATGTTGAGTTTTAACCTCGATATGCTGGAGGAAAAGAGAGATGCAACGGCAGTAAGGCTCGTATCTTACCAGCAAACGCTTGCGAATAGCTATAACAAAAAGGTAAAGCACAAAGACTTTATACCAGGTGATCTGATTCTGAAAAAGAAGGTGGGATAGTAAAAAAGATGATGCCACCATGGGAAGGTCCATACAGAATTGCAGAAGTTATAGGAAAGGGGGCATATACCCTAGAGACCATGGCCGGAAGGCTGGTTAATAAGCCTTGGAATGCTACGTCTCTGAAGAGGTATTATCAATAGAAAGTTAAAAGTTTCAATGTTGAATTTTGTTCATTTTCAATTGAATACAAGCGAATGTACAAGTTTCTGAGATTTATAAAAGTAATATTCCTCTTTAAGAGATTGATCAAGTAAAAATAACAAAGTAGGTGGCAGTTGGCACTATGAGCCGAACGCCAAACACTTGCTAAGAAATAAAAAGCCAAGTGGCAGGTGGCATTCTAGCCGAGCGCCAGGCACTTAAGCAAAGTAAGTGGCAGTTGGCACTATGAGCCGAATGCCAAACTCTTGCTAAGAAATAAAAAGCCAAGTGGCAAGTGGCATTCTAGCCGAGCGCCAGGCACTTGAGCAAAGTAAGTGGCAGCTGGCACTATGAGCAAAACGCCAAACACTTGCTAAGAGATAAGAAGCTTGCTAAGAAATAACAAGCCAAGTGGCATTCTAGCCGAGCGGCAAGCACTTGCTAAGCATTTGCTCAAAAACAAAAAGTAAGTGGCAGCTGGCATTATAAGTCGAGCGCCAGACATTGCAAAGTAAATGAATGTGAAGCTAGTTGTTACCGCTCATTCACAGATAAAGTCAATGTTTTTGTCATCTCATTCATGATATGATCTGAGGTTACAAAAGATAAAGCATACCGATGACATAACTACAAAGAAGCAGGAAATTAAAATATCAGAAGAGTCCTAGCTAGCTGCCTCTGTTCTGTCAGCCTCTTGATTGTGTTGACTCGCCTCTTGATTGTGTCGTCCCATCCTCACGAGGTGGGGAGTCGAGATGAATAACTGAATCGTTCTGTTGGGGCCCAATCTCAGTAACGGTTAAAGAATGGATCATAGTAGACAGAGGAAGAACGTCTAGAGGCTGAACGACAGAGGGAACTGTAGTGACCCTGGAGGAAGCAATCTCCTGACACTCATCAAAAATGTGTTTAGCAGGAGTGGAGTCTGGATCAACATAGACTCCTGGAGGATCAATTTTTAGATCCTTATCAACTTCGTCCGGAGTGGAACCAGTCTGTCCGTCGGCAGGAGCACGGTCGGAGAAACCCTCTCTGTACCCCTGAGCATACCTGAGAGCCCCAACCCTTGAAAATCGGGCGTGAAGAGCCAGGATACCACCATTCACCTTGCTAATGGTGTTGAGCAGAGCATCACGCTCCTCCGGGGCTCTCTTTTCAAAGGTCATCCGAGCGGACTGTTCGTCAACCAGAAGGCGCTGGAGTTCAGCTTTTTCGTCCTTGAGCGAGTTGTGCTCGGTCTGCCAAACCCTCTTCTCAAGGTGAAGGGCATCCCTTTCATCCTTAAGAGAATCGGTTTCCCTTTTCAGAGCGTCTCTCTCTTTTTTAACTTTTCCAAGCTGGACGAACAGTTCTGTGTTTTTGGTGGCGAGGATGTTATTTTCTTTATGGGCCACCTCAAGGCTGTCAGAGAACTTTCGAGCCTTGGCGTTCCCTATTTCCACCTGTTTTTGCATAGCCATCATACCGAACAGGGTCTGCAGAGATATGCATGAACACTGGTTAAACCGATTGCATGGTCAGAGGGGGTTAAGCATACAGATTTTTCTGATTGGGAGATAAAAATTACCTCCATGGCAGATAAGGAAAAGCGGCTGAACACCTCCTTTTGGGATAGACCTTTGGCGGTTTCAATGTCCTTAGGAGTCCACATGCCCCTGTAATATGCCATAGCGGTCTGACCATCCTTGAACATAGTCTCGTTCGGCTTCACGAATGTCCCATCCGTTCGGGTGAATCGAGGAGTCCATGGTGCTGTTACAGAGGCAGAAGCAGAAACAGAAGCTGAAGCAGAAACCACAGCTGTAGCAAGCCCAGAGGGGGTAAGAGAATTGACTGGGCGATGTAAGAGTGTACCCGGCCCAGAAATTCGGATCCTTCTTGTATGAGATGCATCATCAAGGTTGGCTGCACTGTCGAGATGAGGCCTTTTGCCTCGCTCTTTATCCTGAGCACCCGCAGTAACAACAAAATTAGTATTGACCTGAGGAGGTGCGTTCGGATTGGTAGAAAGAACGCTAATGGCAGGATCAGCAGCCACTACGTTCGGAATGGTGTCAGAAATAGTGGCCGAAGAAGAAGCCGAGGCAGGAGAAGAGGTTGCCGCAACAGCAGCAACAGTAACTCGGGGAGGGTTCTTCCTTCTGCCGAATGAAGGAATTTGGAGCTGGCTCATTGCGCTGCCGAGGGCTGAAATGGCGAAAAGGTTGTCTGAGGTAAGGAGGTCTGAGCAGGAAGGAACGTCATTCAGAACGTAATTCTTTAAGTAATTATCCATATCCCTGCAAACACTGTAGCTCAAATCGTCACAAGGAATGCCTAAAGAACGGCACAAGAAAGTACAAAAGCGAGGAACACAAATTTCGCAGGGATAATCGTTCTTATGGGTTTTGAATTTCTTATACGAAGAGACAGAACACACACCAAAGGTGCTCGGGATTGGATAATCCTCTGCAGCTGGAGAAGACCAGCCCCCCCTAACCCCTATTATGTTGTTTTTCCAACCCTTTTCAGACTTGAGTGTGTCTTTGCATATGGACATCTTTTTAATCGGGTAGAGGTGGTAGAATGGTTCCTCAAGTCGGATCTTACTAACCTTGTAACAGAGAAGAAGATCTACGATATCAAGATCCAGACCTTTGTCATGAGTCAGTAGTAGCAGAATGGATAGGATCCTAAAAAAAATTGGATTTACTTGCAGAGGGGAGATCCCTAGTTTGTTGAAAACATAGTTAAAGAAAGGATGCAAAGGGAACCTAATGATGTTCAACTGAAGATGGGTAAACAAGACTTCGCCGGGAAGAAGGCCAGCACCAGTCCTGATATCCACGTCTTTAGGGTAGTTTCTAATTTCTATATTGACAGGGAGATGAAGTTTCATGCGAAGAACATCTAGATCTACAGGCATGGTGAAAATGAATGAGGTTTTTAAGGGAGAAAAAGTGATCTTCCAAAAGAAAAAGGCAAACGAAACTAACCTCAGAAGGAGAAAACGTAGATTATTGCAAGATCGCTGGAAAAAGAAGCTTTCGTAGAGGTTCGCCGGAGGAGATTTGATTTGACTAAAAAGAAAGAGAGGCAAGCAAAGATTTGGCCAACAGTGATACAAGATGGAGATAGTAAAAAAGGTTTGAGGGAACGTCTCTGATACTTATAAGGACAGAGTGGGCCCGAAGGTCGAAGCGTCAAGAAAACGAGGAGTTTCTTTGGAATCTTGAAGCATCGGTTTTAGATCCGACCGTCCATTTTCCCACGAGATCTTCTTGAGCCGTTAGTGTCATGATTGGCCGCCAATAATAATTACCCCCTTATTTACTAGGGGGTAATTATGGGGGCAATTGAAGATACCAAAGATGGATTGGACCAGACCCGACCCGCGAGTGAAGCATCAGATTGAATGGTAGGTCCGAGCCTAAGCAAAAAGGGGTACCGCAATGAGCCCAACACCCACGAAAGAAGGATCAGACCGAACAGTTAAACTCAGCCCATAACACAATACTGAGAGTTAGGCCCAACATCTGAGGCTCACATAATGAAGTCAGGCCCAAAAGGAAGAAGGCCCTAGAATAAGAGCCCTATACAATAAGTTGGTTAGAATTTTGGTGATGGTTTATAAATAGACCATACGAGTAGAGAGAGAGGGAGGCTTTTTGCATTTTTCATTCTGTTGAAGTGTAAGAATTTTAGAGAGAGAAAAATCGAAGGAAGTTCTTGCATCTTCAGTCTCTCTATTTTCTAACAAACTGTGTAAAAGTAGGTTTTAAATAGACGAGAGTTTCCAAATAAAAGTTGGAAAAAGTGTCTTAAAACCCTATTGGTTGTCTCAAGAGTTTTCGATTAAAAAAAAGGAGTTGAAAAGATATCCAGAATTTGACTAAATACAACACCGTATTATTGTTTTAAGTCCTACTTAACTTATGTTCTAAGATTTTCAAAACATATTTTGTTTCTTGAAAACATTTAAAACTTTTTTAGAAAATAAGTGTATTCGCACGTACACTCACCTCTTATAAGTGAGATTCAAATCTATTCCATAGGTTATGCTGAGATTCAAATCTATTCCATAGGTTATGAGCTTTCGTCGAATAGTTGTCGTTCAACTTCTGAAATTGAGACACAAGATAAACATAAAATTACAAATCAAATAACAAGTTTTGACACTTAAATTTTCAAGCAATTAAAAGGCCAAGTTTCTCACACGAAAGAAAAATATGGGTCAATATGAGTTTCTAGATGCGCGACCAAAACCAAAAAGAGTTCTTTTATGAAGATAAGACGTGGTTTCTTCACAATATTTACTAGCCTATATGGTATAAACTCTCCACCCCAAAGGTGAGATTGAGTGTTTATGCCCCAATAGGGGCAAAATATATGGTATGTTTGTGTATGAAAACGATTGCTTGAATTTTCGAAAACAAGATGTGGCTTCTTAGTAGTGGTGGAGGCACCTCGGTACCAGTGGGGGCATTGGATTTTTTTTTATTTGTATTTTTATACATAAATTTTGGTAATTCTAAAAGTGCCCCCCACTAAAATTTTAAAATATTCATAGAAGGCCTTGACAAAAAGTTACAAAAGTCAAAAAGATTCCTCATTTTTTAACTCATTCGCCCCCAAAATTTTCAAAATTCAATAAAGACCCATGTTCAATCAAAATTTATAAAAGACTCCTCATTTGCTATTGAAATTTTTGTTATTTGTATTTTCTATACATAAATTTTGATAATTATAAGAGTGCACCGATTGAATTCCTAAAAAATTCGCAAAAGACCGTAAGAAAACTTCCAATGGTGAAAAACAATCCTCATTTTCTAACTCATTTGTGCAATAAAAAATTTGAAAATATAGAAATGACCAAATCTTTTCTCCTCTAGTGGGTCCCACCAAACTTTTAAGAATCAAAATTCACAAAAAATAACAAAAAAAAAAAAAAAAAACCCTTTGCTATTTATTATTTTGATTCAAATTTTATCATATTATTGTTATTGGTGACCCCCATTGAATTAATTTCCTGGACCCGCCACTACTTCTTAAAACAATATTTGAACTTCTTCTTCTTCTTTTTTTTTCCTAGTTGATAATCACCATCACTAAAGAAATTGTTTGCACCACAAATAACAATATTTATCTTTATGTATATTTGACATGAAGAGAAGATTAGATGATTATAACAAAGCATGAAACACTTATTACTTCAGTATATAGACTTTCTTTCATAATTGCTCTGTTCCCCATTTCTTAAGTTAATGTATTCTCCACATATATATCTAGGCATGAAATATATTGAGCCTATTCTAGAAAATAATAAATTATATTTCCAACACATAAAAGCCTGGATTTTAGATTTTTACCTTCCATTCTATAGGGAACGATAAACATCCATATTGTTGCCTCTTAAACACATAATGTGATATTACAACTACTACAACAAAATAAATAAATAAATACAATTTTATTAACTAATATGACGTGATATACGTGACTAACCATGGAGATGATATTTCATTAAGCATCCAATCTTCTACAATATCAGAATAAAACTTTGCTAATTATACAACATGAAAAATAAAAATTTGTAGGACAGGATTGCATATATTAATATTCCAAACAAAAAAATGTTGCTATTTATTGTCACAGGTACTTTATGAAGGGAATCCATGTGTGCGGAAGGTTACACTGAATAGACCGGAAAAACTAAATTGCCTCACCTATGGAATGGTATGTTAATATGTATATGATCAGGCTTGCTTTTCTACTTATATGCATAATATATGTATATAGAAAATTTTATTTATCTCATTTCAAATCTACAAAATATTATTTAACTTTTGAAATTAACATTTGAATGACACCAATGGGCGTCAGACCGTGTTTGAGGGTCTCACCTCTTCAAATGAATGGTTAAATATTCAAGCCACATTAGGGACAATATTATAAGTATGTATGTATTTATTTGGACAAATAATATCTTAACCAAATAAAATAAAAAGTCAAATATTACATATGTTACTAACAAAAATGATTATATATATATATATATATTTGCTATTGGAAATAGTCTTGAATAGTTTGACTCAACCTAAGTTAATTTTGTTGCTCCCGCAATAAACTTTTTTTTTTCCCCACTTTGCTACAATTCTATTTTATTTTATTTTTTCATTGGCAAAAAATACATTCACATATCACTCACTTTGCCCCTTTGAAGATTTGAAAAATGTACAAACAAGCAAGTCCAATCGGTTGCACTTCCGCTATAACCTTTCTGCCCAAGTGCAACCAGTTCCACTTTGTAGAGTGCAGTCCGCAAACAACAAGAATATATGAAGATCTAACTGTTTGGCCTGTAAGAAGCAGTCGGTTCTGATGCAACCGGATGGGCGTGCCAGGAACTATAGTAGTTCCAAAGAGAGATCCAAACAATATTCTAGATGGAAGATTGCGAGACCAGACGATTGTAAAGAGATCTGGAATGAACACCTCAGGGTTCTTTTTGCCTTTGGTAAAGGACTTTGGGATGATTAACTGGTTAGGAACGAACGAACTATTTAAGAAAGTAATTGACTGGAAAGTAAAATTGTCTAATGAAAAGTAAAGTGCAAGACTAAGACTAATCATAATGAAATTGCATTGCAATGTAAATAAGAATTTGTATTGAAATGCGTTGTTGTGTTTGGCATTGAGCAGGCTTATTACTTTACAATATCATGCCCTATTTATAGAATTTAGTAATAGTAGCTTGCATGTAACCACTTGCTTCCTAAGCTGCCATGTGTCCCATGACTTTACATGTAACCGCTTGCTTCCTTAACTGCCATGTGTCCTAAGACTTTCCACTAGAATGTCATAGTACCTTTCTATTGGAATCGACCAACTTCCTAGGCTGCCGTGTGTCCCATGACTTTGCATATAACCGCTTGTAACCGCTCGCTCCCTAGGCTACCATGTGTCCTATAACTTTACATGTAACCACTTGTAACCGTTCACTTTCTAGATTGCTATGTGTCCCATGACTTTGCATGTAACTGCTTGCTTCCTTGGCTACCATGTGTCCCATGACTTTGCATATAACTGCTTGCTTCCTTGGCTGCCATGTGTCCCAAGACTTTCTACCGAAACGTCGTAGTACCTTTCCATTGGAATCGACTAGGGTAATCTTCTACTGGAAAGTAGAAAATAAGGGTGTAAACATTGCCCTCCAAATTTGATGTGTCTGATATTCTTTGAAGAATTGTAAGGCATATCAAATTTTAGATATGAGTGAGAATTTGCCATGTGATATTCCTATTGAAATAACTAAAACTTTTCAGTCGTAATGTACCATTGGGTCGAAAACTTTAAACAGCTTATTAACTAATTCGAAAGTCGCGTGTAAGCTTAAGGATTTGAAGCCTTACGTCCAATTTCATTGTCCCCCGAGGTCTGGAAGTTTACGAGGAGGATGAATTTGTACATCTTCAAGCCAAATACATAGTTGATTAGCCAAGTTTTGCCCCCCAAAAATCACAAGATGTGAATTTGGGACAAATAAAGTACTAGCATTCTTTTCCAAAATTGGAAGAAAAATACTATGACTGTTATATTCTTCAGGTGGAAGAATATACAACGATTGAGAAGCTTGTGCCGTTTCCGAAGGAAAATCTGACTGTGGAAAATCTTCTTCCAATGGAAGAAATGATAACGGCTTCCTATGGAAAGGTTTATCAACCTTCCTTATGGAATGAACTACTTCTGACTGAAGATTCTGCACTGAAGATTCCACCTGAAATGGAACATGAACTGCTGTTGGTGGAATCAACTTCACTACTGCTGGAGTTGACTTCACTGTAGCTCAAGGGTTCTGTACCTTAGGCAAAACCTGCATCTGCGATGGAAGTGGTGGTGGAATCGACTTCACTACTGGCGGAATCGACTTCACTGCTGATAGAATCGACACCATAGGTTGGGGCAATGAGTTTGTATTCTTTGGCCAATCTTTGGGTAAGTTGGCCATTGGATGCCCCCCAAACATCATTGGAAATGTGTTTAGGTCTGGGTTATTCCTCCAGCGACCTCTATTGCCTCCTTGATTAAGAGGCTCTCTTGGCACATTCTGCCCCCCACCTGTAATAGGAAAAACCTGAGGTGGTCTTTAAGGAATAGTAGAAGGTGACTGAACATTCTGTTGGCCAACATAGGGTGGAAAATACGACTGATTTCCCAAATGACCTGTTTGAGTTGTACCTTGAGAAGACCTAAATTGATGCAAATTGTTAAAAAAAACTTCATGACAAACCTATTAAGGTATAGTCACAGGAGCTGAATTCTACACTTGTTGGGTCACTGGTATGGACATTGATTGTACAAGTGGCACCTGCACTGTCTGTGCCTATGGTATGGTACTCACAGGCTGATGAGAAGGACTCCCCTCAACAAAAGTACTTGGCCTGTTCATTGGAACGGCCGATTGCTGAGAACCTTCTGAATTACTTGGCCTGTTGGCCAAGCTTTGAGAGATGTTGGCCAAGCTCTGAGGAATGTTGGCCAAGCTTTGAGAAAGACTTACAAAAGACCATTCAAACATAGTTTCCAGTCTGCTGGTCATTTTGTCTTATGCTCGAATGGCCTCTTCGTGATTACAACTCATCAAACGTGACATATCCATGATTGGTCCATTCATCATTGCTTCGACGATCTTTGCAATCATATTTTCTCCTTCTTTAGGAATGGCACGCGAACTTTCATCAGGAAGTTCAATAGTCTGTTCCCCTTCAATTTTGACAGGATCTTGAACAGATTTGACGTGTCTTTTTCCTCCCGCCATGGAAACACTTCATTCAGAATGTCCCACCGGGCGTGCCACTATGTTTAGCCTTTAAAAAGTGGCCAGTTCTGATGGAACTGGGTGGGCGTGCTAAGAACTGCAGTAGTTCCGAAGAGAGATCCAAATAATATTCCAGAAGAAAGATTACAAGACCAAGCGATTTTGATGAGGTCTGGAATAAACACCTTAGAGTTCTTTTTGCCTTTGATAAAGGACTTCTGGATAGTTAACTAGCTAGGAAGAACTACGATACTTATGAAAGTAAAGGACTTGACTGTAAAATTATCTAATGAAAAATAAAGTGCAGGACTAAGACTAATCATATTGAAAGTGCATTGCAATGAAAATGTAGATTGTATTGAAATGCGTGTTTGGTTTGGCGTTGAACAGAATTTCTAAGTTACAATATCATGCCCTATTTATAGAATTTAGTAATGGTAGCTTGCATATAACCACTTGCTTCCTAAGCTACCATGTGTCCCATGACTTTGCATGTAACCGCTTGCTTCCTTGGTTGCCATGTGTCTCAAGACTTTCCATTAGAATTTCATAGTACCTTTCCATTAGAATCGACCAACTTCCTAGGCTGTCATGTGTCCCATGACTTTGCATATAACCTCTTATAACCTTTCACTTCCTAGGCTACCATTTGTCCTATGACTTTGCATGTAACCACTTGTAACCACTCACTTCCTAGGCTGCCATATGTCCCATGACTTTGCATGTAACCACTTGTAATTACTTGCTTCCTTGGCTGCCATGTGTCCCAAGACTTTCCACTGGAATGTCATAGTACCTTTCCATTGAAATCGACCAGGGTAATCTTCTACTTGAAAGTAGAAAATAAGGGTGTAAACACCAACCAAAGCAATAAAGTATCCATAAAGCATTGCACAACACAAGATTTATATGGTTCACCCAAACTCAAGGCTACGTTGATGAATGAGGAGATATTACAATTTTGGGGAAAATTACCAACACCGGAATATCTTGTATACCCACTCTCACTTAGAGTCTTCCTTGTGTAATTGGCTGCCTGGGCAAAGGTCCTAATACCCGAGCCTTACACCGTGTACAGCAAGACGCCCTCTCTCTATGAGACGCCTTTTCGTCTTCAGTGTTCACTCTAACAAATCTAATACTTTCTACCCATTAACTCACAATTGAGGGACTCACAATTCTTACACAATTGTCTCGCAATTGTTTATCACAAAAGCTTCACTTACTTTTGTCACAGTTTTGTATATTATATGAATGATTTGATCTGCAAAGACCATGATTGGGAATTGTTTAATCGTCTTTGTCTAAGGAAAAGTAAAAATATAATCCACTTGAGTTCGGGACCGCTGTTAGAAATCCTAGTAAAACACTGGGTTTGTTATCTTATGTCTGCTTTTCGTAAAAAAATACCAATTGAAGTGGATCTTCAAACAACAAGGGGTTGGGTCAATTATTCAATCAAATGATATTGAGCATGTTTCCCATCTCTTCTTGAGAAGCCAGACTGCCCTTACCGGTTACATGTCTCTCCACTCATACCTCTCAACAATACCTTAGGTGTCTATTTATAGACCTAATTCTTTGGTGAACAAGGATTACAATTTCTTAGGGCCCAAAAAAAATCTCTACAAGAAATTACTATAATAAAATAACTCTAAAATAGAAACCAATAATAATAGGAATTATGAGCCACAATTTCGAACAGTCTAGGCATAAAATATGCACTGATTTTATTCAGTTTTCTTTTTTGTAATATTAACAAATGCTTTTTCTATTATATAAATATCAGAGCTGTGAATGAGTGTTTGAGCCTCATTCAAGCCTTTACATATTATAATTCTCATTCAATATTTACACATTTCTCTTATAGTCCTTATATCTTTTATTTCTTCTCTAAAGTAAGCCAAATTTATGTCCA